GAGGGGAGGCGGGAAGGGAAGGCCTTTTGCTTTGGGACGAGAGGAATTCGCCGTCTTCTCGGAAGCTGAACACAATGCGTCGTTCGGACGTCCCGTCCATTCTCCTGACTTGCACGCCACTGCACGCCCTCCTGCACGCCCCCTCAGCCTCCCCCGCGCGCCCGCACCCGCCAAACGCCCCGCCGCGGGCCGGGGCTGGCCGGGGCCGGGGCTCGGCCGGCAGGCTCTTGGCAGGCCGTCAACAAGTTCGGTTCTATCTTTTTGCCTTACCTCTCGGCTCCGCCGGGTCCGCTGGCTCCGCTCTGCTCCGGGGCCCAAGTCGGCCCGGCCGGTGAGGCGAGCCAGGGCAGGGCAGGGCATCCGTCCATCCACGTCCATTGTTTCCCCTTCCATGTATGTATGCCGAGGAGCCCGACGAGGGCACAACGGCGGCGCGGCGGCGGCGGCGTGGCGTCGAGCAGGCGAAGGTCGGCCGCACGGAGTATGTGGCTGTGGAGGCGGAGGCGAGTTACAAGACGAATTAGCAAACGCTGCGGCTGTCTCGCCTGTCTCATCGAGGATCGTGTTCTCTCTCTACTGGGCTGCCTCGCCTACCGGTGAAAAGAAGGGGAGGGAAGTCCAAAACAAGGCATAGCGGTACGTAATGCTATGTAAAGGAATTATTTACAGCATCGCATTACTTTCCGCAATAAAGTATTTCTTTCCAGCGAAACTTACCGTAAAGGTGTTTTTGGAAACAAAACTCGGCACTCGGCAAATTTAACTTCATGTGGAGGAGACTGCCTATCACCCATGATACCCACCCACGTATCTGGACCCAGCTGTACTTGCAGGTGCAGTGGCAGCCCCGCACAGCAGAGCCAAACGTAGGCCTAGATTCAGAGACGCCTGAACTTTAATAACATAAAAGATGTACAGAGCGCAAACATTGCAGAAGCCTAGAAGCTCTCAGTTTTGTTGTTGTTGTTCTTTGGTCAAAAGTTAGGTTAGGTCGTCACTCTAAGAAATATCAATATAAAACTTAGTGCGCACTCCTAGCTCCACGTCTTACAACTGACCTTTAAATTCGCAACCCTTTCTTGCGTAGAAAATGTACAAATAATCCTTTGGCTTGGGTCAACCGCTACTTCGTGCACCTCGGCCACTCCACACTCCACTTCCACTCCATTCCTCCGGTCCGGTCGGGTTGGGTATCCACTCTTGCCAACCTCAAACCACTCACACTGGGAAAGCGCCGAAATCTCAAAGTTATTGTCAACAGAAAAACACAATATGAAAACAAACGCAGTTTCCGGTGAAATAATGTAAAATAAAGAAAAACAACTAAGGCCTTTCTCCCCTTCACTGAACGGAGCCCCTATCTCAGACGGCAAGGGTGACGTCGCAGCACTCAGCACACTCAGCTGGGGCGGCTCGTCACGCTTCGTCACGCTCCGGGGCTGCGATATACTACCACAGTTCGCCACTACGCGTCACGGTTGAACGACACACACACGCGCGTAGTGCGTACGCTACACTACGCCCTGCGAGCCCCGGGGGGTGGGGTGGGTGCTGAGAAGCACACGTACCCCCCGCCCCGCACCACCCAATCCTCTGGCAGCGACTGACAAATCGACCTTCAGTATCATCAGAGTGGGTCGGGAGGGCACAGGTGCCGATTCTCTCTCTCGGGGTTTGGTTCTACGAGGGCGATGGCGAGTGTCAACGGCAATAACGACCCCGCACTCAGCATGACGGAAGAAAACATAGCAAATGACGACTTTATAGCAGATGTACTTCGCAATAATTATCTACCAGTGCAGCATCTGTTCAAAGAGATGTGACCCATAATAGCCCCCGCCCCCCGCATAGAAGTTCCCCTATACCCTCCACCCCCGCCTCATAGGGATAGTCCCATCCTTCCCGGGGGGCTCGTACCGGGGCTGATTTTGAAAACGCATAGAGGGTGCAAAATCCTGATTCTGACGACGACGACAACAAAGTCCAAATGGGCACTCTTTGTCACCCGCGATTTTTTGCTGGCAAGCTCGCAGCTCAGCCCACTCCATCCATCGCCCTATTCGAACCTCGCCACGCATAAGGCAGCAGCAGTAGCGGTTGCGGTGCGTTCCTAGAAGCAGGCCGTCAGCTACCCTTCATACATTATTTACCAAGCCTGCATTCAAAAGCGGGAGTATTTCGCCCCCTCTCCCTTCTTACGAAACCAATGGCGAGTAAAAGAGAACGACGGGCCTTAATGCTGCTGCGCCCGCGGCGCGGTGCGTACCGTGCGTATGCCCGTGCACGCCCGGCCCCGCCCGCATCAGCCCGCCGTAGTTACGCCTAAAGAGCCGCTGAGGCTGCTCTTTAGTTACGCCCGTACGGTGGCGCGGGTGCTTCGGCTAGCTCATGCATTCGCTATCACAACGCCAGCCAGTCAAGTGCAAAACTTGGTGTTTCGTTCCACACGTGTGTACTGAAAACATTCGTTCCACGCGTCATTTCCTTGGCCCCTCGTGTGGCGGCGTCGCGTCACTCTGAGAGCCTGCGGGACGCAGCGTAGGCAAGCTGCTTCACCGAGATGCCTGTTGAGTTGCCTGCCCCTGCGGGCGCTCAAGCGAGACCGCATGGCGCCTGGTGAGTCGGCAAGCCACCGCACACCTCTATGGTCCTTTGGATTTCTCATACCTGCTAATCGAATATGAATGCGAATGCCGAATGAAGAGGAAAACAAAGCACTGGCGATTGGTAAACAATTTTCAAAGTTTCGCGCGTGAAAGCCGTTGGCCCGGTATGTTTTTGTATTTGTGTCGTCGTAAAACCTGGTAAAACTTGATTTCGGTTCTATCGTTGAAAGTTGATAATGAGAAGAAAACATGGTACGTAGTAGTTTTTGGTAAAATATTGCTTAGAGATTGACTGAAGCTGAATCGAAAGGGTATTGTGTATTGTAAGATTTAACCTCAACCGTCTGTGTTTCCATACCTGTTTTGTTCTGTTGTTTTCGGAAACTTAATTCTCTATGTGCAATAGGAATATAGTGCATGTTCGTTGTAAAATGTCTTAGTAGTTACAGCTTCCTTTTTCAATGTTTTGTTTACATCTCCAGCGGCGAAGCCTAGCCCCAAGTCAAGTGGCCAAGCGCAGACCAGAAGATGAGTATAGTCCTTTAACTCAGCAAACAACGAAGAGAGGTCGCAAGCTATCATGTACACAGCGTGTTCCACTTTCTCCTTTGCCTCTTACACCACTCCCAGCTCCTATAACACAAGAAAGTGTATCAAACCATGTAAGTTTCATATTGACTCTGTATTTTATTTTTCTCCTTGAGAATTGCTGTTCCTTACCGTTCATGTTGGCTTACAGGAATCCCTAATTCGGAGCCTTCTTGCCAAGCCTTTCAAAGTACCCATTCCTAATTATCAAGGTGGATATTCAGGACGTGCATTAGGTGTACGTAGATCAGGCATTAGAAGACCTCTTCATGATCCAGAAGAACCAAATGCTCTTGTGCTATATGAACCTCCACCTCTATCGGAACACGATAAACTTAAAGGAGATGCGTAAGTTCGCTAGAGTGAAACAGAATCAGAATGCCATTTTGTTGTGTGATACGTACTTATTAGTCTCTTACCAAATTCACTATTACAGAGATAAACATCCTGTTCATGTAGTAGTTGATCCTATTCTCTGCAACGTCTTACGCCCTCACCAAAGAGAAGTAAGTTGATATACTTGAAATTAAAGTACTTACGCTCTTAACATTTAAAAACTACATTTCTGTGCTTACCAAATTATTCTGATGTTTTCATTATATTTTTATTTTAACGTCTGTTTAATTTAAATTTGTTTACAGGGTGTCAAGTTTATGTATGAATGTGTCACTGCAGTACGAATTGAGAATGCCTATGGATGTATCATGGCTGATGAGATGGGTTTGGGTAAAACCTTGCAGTGCATTACCCTCATGTGGACCCTTCTAAAACAAGGGCCTGATTGTAAACCTCTTATCAGCAAAGCTATCGTAGTAGCTCCAAGTAGTCTTGTCAAGGTGAGAATTCAGCAATCTCAATTGTTTTGGCCTTTTATTTTTATTAAGTTATGAACTTATCTTTTAATACTATTTCTGTCTATACAGAATTGGTTCAATGAAATTAACAAATGGCTTGGAGGGAGAGTTAACTCACTTGCCATAGACTCAGGAGGCAAAGATGAAATAGATAAAAAACTTCAAGGATTTATGCAAACATATCGTGGACGCCCAGTCAACCCCATTCTTATAATTTCATATGAAACTTTCCGTTTGCATGCTCATGTTCTTCATAAGGGAGAAGTCGGTCTAGTACTTTGTGATGAGGTATGGTGCTTTATATTCAGCATAATCACTTAAGCCATCTTCTTATACCCTACAACTTATGTATGATCTGTTTAAAACAGGGCCATCGTTTGAAAAATTGTGAAAACCAAACCTATCAGGCTCTAATGGGCCTTCAAGCCAGACGAAGGGTTCTTTTGTCAGGCACACCAATTCAGAATGACTTGTTAGAATATTTCAGCTTAGTTCACTTTGTGAATCAAGGCATTCTTGGAACAGCACAGGTATTACTTGGACTAATCTGGTGGTTGTGCCCTTTCAATGATGAACTGTATAGTTACATAATTTTTTCCACTTTTTGCAGGAATTTCGTAAGCAATTTGAAATTCCTATCTTAAGAGGGCAGGATGCCTGTGCAACTGATGGAGAACGTGCACGAGGACAAGAGTGTCTTGATAGATTAGCTGCCTTGGTAAATCGTTGCCTAATCAGGAGAACATCAGCCCTGTTGTCAAAGTACTTGCCAGTGAAATATGAACAAGTAATTTGTGTAAAACTCACACCATTACAAGAAAAGTTGTACTCGGAATTCATTAATTCTGAAAGCATAAGGAGGACTGTCAATGAGGGTATTTATCAATTCCTACTTGCTACTTGTCAAAACTATTTTAAAACTTTGACTCTATTCCATATTTTGGGTGTGTTTCAGTGGATGATGGAAGAGGTAATAAGAAGGGTGGAAAAGGCATGCTCTCTGCCCTGTCTGCTATTACTACTTTGAAAAAGCTTTGCAACCACCCCGACCTTGTCTATGAAAAGATATCACAGCGAACTGAAGGCTTTGAAAATGCCATGGCACATCTCCCTAGTAACTATGACGTCAAGTAAGTTTTTTCGTCAGATCTATTATTTGTCTTAGAGCTGCTTTTTCAATTTTTAAAATAACTGATTTTTTTTTTGTGGACAGGAAAGTTCTTCCAGAACTATCAGGGAAGTTGATGGTGCTTGATTGCCTCTTGGCTGTTGTTAAATCAACTACCAATGACAAAGTTGTATTGGTATCAAATTATACTCAAACATTAGACTTGTTTGAAAAACTAAGCCACCATCGTAACTACAACTATGTGAGATTAGATGGTTCTATGAGTATTAAAAAAAGAGCCAAAGTAAGTTAAAACAGTTATTCTGCTATTCTCTTATTCAAGAAACGAACACCTTATGTTGACTTGTTAGAAACTGGATTTTCTTAACATTTTCTTTTTTTCTTACAGGTTGTTGACAAATTTAATGATCCAAATAGTCCTGATTTCATATTCATGCTCAGTTCAAAAGCAGGAGGATGTGGACTCAATTTAATTGGAGCAAATCGACTAGTGATGTTTGATCCTGACTGGAACCCTGCTAATGATGATCAGGCAATGGCAAGAGTTTGGAGAGATGGACAACGGAAACCATGCTTCATATACAGACTTCTTAGTGTGAGATTTGTTTCCTTCTTGCTTCTGAGATGTTTAAAATTATCACTTTAAAATAAATACAGTAATTTATCCATTTGTAATTTTTAGACTGGCACTATTGAGGAGAAAATATTCCAACGACAAGCTCACAAAAAAGCATTGAGTTCTTGTGTTGTGGATAATGAAGAAGATGTGGCAAGACATTTTAGTCTTTCAGATTTGAAAGATCTGTTTAAACTTGAGAAGAATACTCTTAGTGATACCCATGACAAGTAAGGTTTATTTGCTCCTTCCACCTTTATTCTTGTTTCTGTTTTCCTTTGTTTTTACTTTCTGTGGTACATTTGAGACCTATTCATTTGCTTATTTACTTGATCTATGTATCTATCTGTATATTTTTATTTTCCTCTTGCAGGTTTAAATGCAAACGTTGTGTAAATAGAATACAGGTTAAACCTCCAGGAGAAGAATATGACTGTACAGCTGATTTATCATTCTGGCATCACAGTGCTGACAAGCGTGGATTAGTGGATGGTATTCTGAAGCAATGCTGGGATGCTGGCCTTTCATTTGTCTTCTACCAGCGATCACATCAGCAGAAGGCAATACCCTGAAGTGTTGTCATGTAGTCTCCTGTGATATTGACAAATATTTATAACATGAACTTTAGTTCATAAAATTTTAGATATATAGAGGTACATATTATTATGCAAATGGAATGTGCCTCACCCCGGGCTGAATGCTTAGGATAATTATTTTATATGCAAGACCGGAGAGTGTGTGTCTAAAAGTATAATTAGCATGACATGAATGATAAAATAATTGATTTGATTCATGCCTGCTCTTTTTGCCAAATTATTCATAATTTTTTTGAATGGTATCTGTGATCAAATAATTGGTGTGACGTTTCCCATAAAATTTCTACAAGTCTTTGAAAAGAGTGTTATTTTCCATTACCCAGACATCTAGGTAAATATTATTATCTATCTATATCACAAAATATTTATTTATTGTATGGCTGCATTGTGAACTTCCAAAGTAGATCCAAAGTGTGTAAATCATTGTTGAGCATTTTTCCTCATATGTTTATAAATTCTATTTTTTTATGAATGGTTACTTTTTAGTTTGACTTGATTAATACGGTAACTTTGTATTGAGGGATCTGCTTTGTACTATTTTCCAGTTTTCATTTATGATTCTTGGATCCAAAAATTGTTTTTCAGTAAGGAACTTTTTTTTAATATACTGCCTGATTACAAAGGGGTGCCAGCATGTGTTCCATGAATCTAATCCATTCAAACGCGAAACGACCCACATTCTTCAAGATCCTGACCACTCTCAACCCTTCAATCTGCTGTCAACCAGTTCGAAGATCCGCGCTCGTCTGAACGTGGGCGCTCCGTCGTGTGGTGCACCCTATCGGCACAATCGCGAGGCTCGGAGCTGAGTGTGTGCATCATGCCTGCGCTCGATCGATCTGAAGGGGAAAGGGGTGGAGTGGCAAGACATAGTAGCCTCGCACAAGGTTATGCTGCAGCCAGTACAGTCGTGGACAAGAATAATTCGCCTACTCATTACTGCTGACGCCCTTGAGACACCCCGGCCAGAAATGCATCGCACGTGTGAATTGAAGAACCCAAATTCTGATGCTACGACCCTGAACAGGATAGAGAGGTGAAACATTCTGCGTTGCACTCGCTGAAAGCGCGAGGTGCCCCCCCTCGGGCTGCGGCGCCGCGGCGCCTAGCTCCTGCCTGGGCTGGGCGCTGGGCGTGACTCATTAGTTCGACGACCCCGAAGCAACCAACTTCCTTGTTCGTCGCCAATACTGCATTAGGGACTCTCTAGGGCAATGAGGTCAGATTTTAAGAGAAAATGACGGTAAAATGGACACTTCCACGCCATCTATCAGGCGCGGTTTGGGTTTGGGTCATGAGATAAGGTGACGTCAGGTCGATAAGGGTAGGGGAACTCTCATTTATTAAACAAGGGCCGAGGGAAGGAATTTTTTCAATAATAATCGATAAAAGTGGATAAAACATAGAGTACGCCCCCCCCCCCTAGTCACCCTTTCCCCCACCTCACCGCAGCGGCGGGGCTGCACTATCCTCTGCTTTTGCTACCCCTCTGTGCTACCCAAGGAAGGACATCATTATTGATGTCATCGTGACAAATTTTTATCCTTTGGGACATCAGGGGTGGGGCGTGTTATCCCGCGTAACCGTCACCTTTATCGAAATTTGGCCCTGAGAAAATCATTGGGTGGCCCCATCGCGTACACCCCGCGCACCACCACCAACCACCCTTGTCTGCTTGTCGTCTGCGTCCTGTAGTACCCCTATGGGTACCTATGCCCCGGAATCACGGTGGCTACCTTTAGGTCTTTTAGAGATGTGTCCATTCAGACCGCCCCCTGAAAGTCTGATGGCATGTTCAGTTGTACATTTTCTAAGGTAGGTGGGTGTACTAGTTGTCCGCGGATGTGGGTGGTGTAAGTGGTGTACTCCTGGTACTCGCTCTCGGGGGGGGGGGGGTGAAGGCTTAGCTGTGTACTCGCTTACTATCTAGTGGAGGTGCGGGCCGGGGTGAGTACTCGTTGTTTGGTCGTGGTGCGGGGAGTGCAGTACTCGCTGGTGTTGTACTCGCCGTCCAGGGTAAGGGGGGAGGGGGGGTGCTGGAAGTGTCGCCTTGGTGTCGCCACCCTGCGCGAGACTACCGCATTTGTTTCGAAGGGCCGAGCCAAAAGCTGAGTCAGGATCTGAGTGAGGTCAGCGAAAGTCGCGAGCGTCGCGAGTCGCGAGTAAAGGGGGGCTTGGAAAACCTGGGTGCCCAGCCCACCGCGGTGCCGACACCCCGGGCCCCTGCGGGACCGCCGCGACTCGGGCGCGCGGGCGCGCGGCGTTGCCGGCTGGGGCCCCGAGTCCGTTTTCGTGCCGCGGCGGGCGCACTCGGGTCGGCTTTTCCCGTTGCCGAGCAGCAGGAGGGCAGGGCGGTCGCGGGCGGGGGGGTGAGGAGGAGGGTGGTGGGGGCACGGCAGGCGCAGCGCAGCGAGCGGGGATGAGCGCCACGCACCGCCTCGCCTCTCCTCATTCTAGTGCTAGCCCGCCCGAGCCGTGGACTGTTGAATAACGTACATTGTCGCTGGTTCATTGCGAATTGCGCCACAAGAAGACGGCACATGATTACCATGCGTAATCTTAACCTTTTCCTTCGCACTGAAAGTACAGTGAATCCAGTCGGTGATTTGGTTTAAAATAGGCACAAAAAACCTCGCCCTCGGAGAGCGAAAGCAAACAGTGCTTAGAGAAAATGGCCCTAGAGAGTGAGCCTCAATCAACGCCATTAGGCGGGTCCAACTTAGATGCTCTGAAATCAGAAAGGTGCAGTACCAATATGCCGCGTTCCGCCCTGGAAAATACGGCGTCATTCCGATCTTGTTCGAGGCCAGGGAAAAGATTTTGACGGGAGGTCCGTGGCACGTAGTGGTGGCCGTTCATGAATCGGGCTCCGCCATCTTGTTTCGGGTGGGGGCTAGGAATATGAGACGGCCATGACGGTTATGTCGAGTAGGGTTCGCTTATTCTAACCCGTCAAGCGTCTCATGACCTGGTTTCCTATAGTCTTAGTTGTAAGTTGTGTGCGACCAACTGCAAGTGGTAAACTTCCATTTCGAGTCTTTCGTCGATGAGGTGCTCTGATAGCAGTGCTTTTTCACGTCAGCGCAAGCGCCACGAAAAATCGATATTCGAGTCAATTACATTTTTTGTAGTGTATCCGGGGCCGAGCCTGTGTCGGGGAGAGAACCCTGCCAAAACTTGGACCAACAGTTTGGTAATATTTACTTAACAATTTCATTTTGGTTGAAGCCTCGGCACTTAACATATCATATCAACCAATTCGTTTTCAGTGAGGCCCGTTTATGCTAGTTTTTGGCCGCCTGAAAAGAACCCAGCACTCGATATGGTGATTTCTGGATGGGTGCTGCGTCCATAATTTTCTGGGTTTACCCAGTCGACTCGTATCTCTTCCGCTGATAGGCACGACAGAGCACCACATACGTCGAAAGTCACGACATATTGCCACAGATCTTTGTGATCCCAGCTGGCTGGGCATGACAGTTGTTTCGTCGTCGTTTGTTCTTTTGCATGCCTGACGCCTCCTCATGTTCTCTATTTCAAACATTTAGTCAGTAAGCCCCTTTAATTTCTTTGGTTTCGCTCCGCAGTCCGTTCGTCCCTGCTTATCGTTCTTCCACCCCCCCCTCCCCCGCCCCTTTTTTTCCAGCCCTCGCTAGAACTAGCAACACTGACTACTGTGCTGCTCCGGTGAGATGCACCCATACGTCACCATGCATACGAGACACCCCGGCCAGAAATGCATCGCACGTGTG